AAAAGTGCTTTCAAATATTTATTTTAAAGACAGTCATGTTTACCGTAATTCAGATAGGGCTCTTACTCTTACAGTACATCTAAACTATTCTTAGTAACATCAAAACAACATTCAGTACTGAATGTACATGATCATAAGGAAATTGGGCATTTTTCAGATCATTATTATAAAAGCAACAACCAGATTCTAGACAATCGTAATGTGCTGCCTCATAGCATAGTGTTAATATTTGATTTGATCTCTTAGCAAAGTGTGCACTGTTATTACCTCGGCCTATGTCTGTAAGGACATACAGTATATGAAAGTGGGGAAATTACAAATATTCAGATTCAGACTTCAAATCTGTGTAGGGGCATGAAATGATATATACAATGTACTATATAAACCCCACACACTCCAATATAATGTGCACTTGAACACTTTTTTTTTCGCCAAATACAATTTTCATGACTTCTCCAATTGTTTGTGACTACTTGAAAATGATTTCAGAGACTGCATTCACAACATGCCATTTCTATAACTAGAAAATATTATATGCAATAAAGGTATTTCCATGACTTCAGGATTCAAAATCAATTTTAAAAATCCTGATCACCGCGGGAACTAGTGTTGTCAAAAGACCCGGTATTTCGGTACCAAGTCGGTACTAAAAAAATGAAAACGTTACGGTACCAGGTTTTCTTAAGTACCGGTGGTACCGAGTACCCGGTCAACCCGGTTCTTGATGCGCTGTCCGAAAGCTATCCTCTTCCAGTGTTGCCAAGTCCGCGGTTTTCCCGCGGAATTGGGCTGCATTAACACTGTTGCCGCGGGTTGTTTTTCATGTCCGCGGGTTGAAAAACGACCCCATTAACGTGATATTTAGCCCCTGGAATGCGAATTTTACCAGGGGAACCCCGCCAAAACATGCGTATTTTATCCTCGGAACGCGATTTTTAACAGGGGACCCCCTCGAAACGCGATTGGGCGGGTTTTGTTGTGAAAACCTGGCAACCTCTTCATAAAAGCAGTGG